CGCCGCCTCCCCGCTCTCCGAGCTCCCCGTCCTCGCCCGCACGGTTGGCGCCCGCGGAGCATGCGCGGCGCCGGCCCGCCCCGCGCCTGCGCGCCTACAGAGGCGCCGCCGTCGCTGCGGCCCTCCTGCACGGTGGAGGTGACCTCACGCCGCCGCTCCGCCCCCGCGGGGCTGCCCCCAGTTCGCGAGGGGAGCTCGGCTGTGAGCCGCTGTGCAGCCCGAGTAGCGCTGTGCGGGCGTGCAGGAGAGAGAACGCACTTATAGAACCACAGGATCAAGACTGACCCGAGCTGGAAGGGCACGCCGGTCTTTAAGATCCTTTCCAACCCGAGCCGTCATCGGGTCATCGTTGTCATACGTGAGGATCCCACCGCCCAAACCTGATGTCTTAGAGCGGTGTACGGCAGTCCCTGAGCTCCGGCATTAGGGATACGACTGTCCTGGGCAGCCTATTCCTGGTGCAGACCCTAATCCCCAGCTGCCCCTCCCCTCACGCAGCTCCGCTCCGTCTCCACCGAGCAGAGCTCAGCGCTGCCCTGCGCTCCCTGTGAGGAGCTGCAGGTGCCACGAGGCCTCCCCTCAGCTCCTCTGCTCCGCACTGAGCAAACCCAGGCACCTTTGCACTCCTCACACACGTTGTCCTGCAGACCCTTCTCCATCCTCGCAGCCCTCCCATGGACACTAATAGTTTTGTTCACCAACCAGAACCCCACTATCTGTCAGCACAGCTGCTCTCCAGCCTCTCATCCTCCAGTCTGTACCTAGCTAGACTTAGGGTTGCCCAACCCAGCTGCAGAATCCAGCAGTTGCACTCACTGAATTCATGCAGCTGGTGATTGCCTGGCCCTCTAATTTGTTACGATTTTTCTGCAAGGTCTCTCTGCCCTCGAGGGAAGAAACAGCTCCTCCTACTGTAATGCTGTCTGCAGATTTACTTATTGTACCTTCAAGTTTAATTGCTCCAGAGGGAGCCAGTCTGGGGGGAAGCAGCCTCCAGCCCCTCTCTCAGCCAAGTGCCCACATGCTGACTGCTCGCTCTGGCCCCAGGCCTTGCTTCTTGTGTGGCTGATGGAGACGCAGGCAGGTGATGGTGCCTGCCTCTGGCTATCTGCTGGCAGCTTGAGACCACGGGCAGTGTTACTGCTCCTGGGGAAGCTCTGTTGCTTGTCCTTAGAAAGACACAGGCACCTCCCATGTGCTGAGATCAAGGATAAATAAACACCCTGTTCAAGCAGCCCAAGAGCAGCTTGAAGGGTGGGGGGAGAAAAAAAGGCCAAGAAAAGCACAGCTGTAACACAAATGATGTTCCCTCTTTGTAGGGCCTGGCAGGGCAAAGGATGCTGGAAATCAGATGCAGATTCACTGTGCCCTGTTTTGTAAAATGAGTCTCAGGACCAGAGAAGTCAGCCAGCTAAGCTCACAGGGAGGGTGAGAAGAATGAAACCTCTGCAGATTGCTGGAAGGATGGTTTGGGATCAGCTTCCTGGATGGGAGGAGAGTGAGGTACTCAGACAGAGCACTTGGGCAGACTGCAGTCTCATCTTTTTCCAGAGCCGATAGCACAGACACCTGTCAGGAATGGCATGCACATGGGGAAGCTCGCTTAATTAGCATGTGAAGCGCTCTGAGCACAGGAGATGGTCCCCAGACACTGAGCAGCATTGCAGCAGACAATGGATAGAGCTTCTCCAAACTTCTTTACCCCACAGCTCTGCCTCAGGTGATTTTCTCCAGCCAGACTCTGCTGTCTGAAGGAGTCAGACTTCTGCTTTGAACACGCTGGGATGGGGATGAAAAGAGGGAATTTTTGCCTCTCAGAGCTGGTTGCTTGGCCTAGCAGACTGCCTGCAAGTTCAGCATTGCCATCTCAGCATCTCACAGTCTGCCATATGGTGAAACATCAGTCTGTCAGCGTTTCAATCCTGCTATCAAATATGTGCAACACCGGGTGTAAAATTACACTCGTGCTTTGCTCATAAACTCTTCTAGCTGGAGATTAACGCGTGAGGGCTGCGGTCCAAAATACTGCACCAAGCTGGCATGACCTGAGCTGCCAGTGTCAGGTTGGGGGTTCTGGCACAGCTTTCCTTTCAGCGAAGGACCTGGACAACCCCGCTTCTTTGTTCTCTTGAAGAAGCTCCATCTGAGGAGGGATCCAGCCTTAGCTCATGTTCCAAACTAGAAAGTAGCACAGAGAAGGCAAGCTGTCTTGGCTGTAAAAATAAACTTGAGACAATCACATCTTAGCACATGCGCTCTCTCCTTTCTCTTTCCCCGTCTTCCTTGATTTTGGCAAGCAATTGCAGCTGTACATCTTTCTACGAGAAGTGCTCAACCTGAGCAAAAAACAATTTCCCCAAGCTCCTGGTGCTCGCTGTTCAGCAGTGCCCCAGAAGCCCCAAACAGCAAGCTATGGGGCCCCAGCTGCTGCAGAAACCTAAGAGGAAGAAGCATGCTTGCACATCAGCTATGTTGTACTTGGTTAGAAGTCTGTTACTTTTTGCACGTTGAAGTGAGGAATAGTCCACAGAGGCAGGATGGAAATCCCCCTTGGGCAGCAGCAATACACAAGTGAAACACCCAGAACTTCTTGCCTTTTCTGAGAATTCAGCTTCCCGGCACCAGGGCTCGTTACCACCTCTCCCACAGGGCGGATTTGAGGTTCACTGCAAGGGAAGAGATGGGGCCAGCAGATCCAACAAGCTATAGGCATTATACAAACAAACAGACCATCAAGAAATAGCTCAGCTGAAAAGATTACAATAAAAATCCAGTTTTGCGAGCAACAGAGGTGCACCTGATAGAGGGAGAGGTCAAGTTACTCTGAGGAAGAAATTAAACAAGCCAGAGTTTGGAAGGACATGTCCAAAATACATATATTCATTGCCTAGGGGCACACAAGGGTAATACCGCCTACACCTAAGTGCTACTCTAAATTCAGTGGAGCTCCAGTGGTCTGACCTTTCATACATTCAGAAACGCCCAGCTTCTGTGTTCGGCACACACATTTAATAGCAGAATTCAAGACTCAGTATGTTCCATCAGCAGATTTTAGTCTCATGTGGAAATTAGTGCATGTGGTAATCTACTTGTACAACAACATGTTAAAAAAAGTTTATTTTACATTATATACATTAGAGAACATATTTCAAAGCATTACCAATCACAACAATAATGCAGGCCATAAATCACTTTAAATTTAGTTTGGCTTTAGTGTATATTATCACAATAAAATATAAAAGAACATATACAAAAAAGGAGTCAAATGTGTGCATTTTGCTAAAACTTGGCATTTACATATTCCATTGGAAAATCGCAATCAAAAATACTTCTGATCAAAACCAAGTTCCTGTGATGCGTAGTAACCATTGTATTGTTTGAATGAGGTAGTAACTAAATTATTTTGGCCATGTGTTAACATCCTAAATCAAAGAAAGTGTGAAAATGGTTATAAGGCCAAAAAAAGTCAAAATGACATCATCTTTGAGCCATTTCCACAACGTGGAATGCTGCTGCTTTTTCACTGTGATATGAAACTACTTAGTAAGACAAACAGTAATACTAATTTTTTTTTTTCCACTGTATATGCTAGTAATTCAAACACCTACTGCAGTGTTACAGCAAGGTACCACTATTCTGGGACTGACACCCATCCAGAAAGTCTTGTTTTCAAGCACGGAGAAGTAATCGTAAAGAGAGTTTTAATTAAATATAAAACACAGGTGTCTAACTGGTTTGTTCCACAAAGAAAACTACCCGCGTAAACAAAAAAAGGGAACTCTGAAGCCCAAGTCATATCCACAAAGTCACAGCTTACCTTTGTGACTGAGTACATCACATCTCAATATGTTGTGCAAACATGAACACCAGTGTGTTGCATCAGAATTAAAACAAGATTGTAATCTGATTACAGCCTTGGCTACAATTTCTAAAAGTTAAATTTATTTGTATTAGTAAATTACATATAATAAAATACAATAGTGTCGTTAAATGTACTATATTTGTTCCTAGCATCCCACTTTATAATAAACACATGACAAATCCTTAAAATAGTACCCCGATTTCATTTTTGCATCCTCAGTGACTTTTACATCTGTACAGGTAGGACACTTGTACTTAACAGGAGGACCACTATCTACAGAAAGTCAGTGTAGGTCTTCACCAAGAAGTTTCACTGAAAAATACTGCATATGTACAAAGATTACATAACAGTAAATTAAGCACTTTTGTGGCATCTTAATGCTTGTGTGTCCATACCACAAATAATCCTCGTCTTCCTCTCATGCCGTAATAAATTATAAAGTAACTGAAGTCAGGTTACTGCAGCCTTTGTGCAATTTCAGCCAGCCGTGAATGCCGCCGCAGGAGTGCTATCTTGTCAAGGTGAGCTGCTGCACACCATTCTCAGTAACTGTTCTCATGCCCAGCGAGGATATATAGATTGCTGTTGGCTGTTGGGTTATCTGTCGGCCTGCTTTCCAGCACCACGACCCTAAAACGAAAATAAAACAACCACAAAGTCAAACTGTAAGCATTCTTTCTCAGGGTGCCCATTTGAGCAGCAGTCATTTCTCTTTCCCTGTAGGCTTGTCGTCTGAAACTCACACCAAAGCATCACTCCCTACTGCCTGTGCTTGTGCTCCCCTGGAGCTTTGCGGAGTTCATCCCTTAAACAGGATGTTGTCAGACTGTTCTTTGCCTATGGACATGCCAGATGACCAAAGCCCACTCTTCTGCAAGCATTTCTAGCCCTTCCCTGAGCTCACGCAAATGATCGAAGGTCACATCACTAAATACACAGAAACTTCTTCCAGCTCTGAAAGTCCCAGAGACACAAAAAAATGTAAGCCAACAGAATTCTAAAAAGAAGCATAATTACATGCAGATCTGTACTAGCACTGCAAAGACCATAAGGCATGTCCTACATTGGACCATTTAAAGGAGAGGAATCTGCAATCACAGCTTGGTTTCACAAATTGTGAGATGTTTAATCATGCAAGAACTGCTGAAACTGCTGAACAAATCAGGGTGCTTATGACTCAATTCTTCTCCACAACCACCCCATTCTGAGAAACTGAAGTCCATCTATCAAGAATTCATCCAAGAATAGACAGCTTACTTCAGATGAATGCTCTGCTCAGCACGCCCCACAAGGCATTCCCTGCTCACCAGGAGGAAACATGCAAGCTTTTAACATACTGATATTAGATTTTTTCACTTCTCAGAACCCCACTTCTTATGAACTGCTAAAGAGAGATGCATTGCTGGAAAAGGTTTCACAGCTCAAGCAGAAGATATGAGACTTGTAATAAAAATGATGTCTGAAAAATTTGGAAGTAGAGCTCACTGCAGCACAAAGTCTTTAAACGTTGTCTCAGACTTGGGAGACTATTAGTCTAAGATGGAAACAAATGGAACAGTATTTATGAAGGCATTTTTCTCCAAGGCAATGATTTGCAATGTCATGCTCCATTCTGAAGTCAGACTTGTTTTTAATTTAAGCTATGCTGTCTCCTAACAACAAAGAGAAATGACATAGTAAAGCTGAGCTCCGTGCACATCTCACTGGCACCAGGAGATTAAAACCCTCAGGTCAGAGATGAGTGTTGCTTACAATTACTCATTACCAGAGAGCTATCAGGTATTGCACATAAGGCAGAACCCTCAACCCCCAGACAGCAAAAATTGCCATGAGGTTGCTAGCTGACAAAGCCACAGCACCATTCAGTGCTGTTGATGTTACAGGTAATTATAGGGCTGCGCATCAAGCTTGGACAAGTAGCACATGGGGAAAGCCTCTGGTTGCTGTGGAGCTTAGTGGTAGTTCCAAAATGCTACTAGAGAGTGAGGTGCCTGCAAGTAGCCTAAGACAGAGACAATTCTTAAAAACTGAAGTCTATCTTTTTCTACTACATATGAATGTGCTGCTGGTGAAACTGTCATGTCAGCACTCACTCTCCAGAGACAAAACATATGCTGCTTTCATGACTGGTAAGTACAAAGTTTGACAGCAGGGCAGAGAAACCTGAAGAAGTCAGTGACACTCCTAAAATAGTAGTGACTGACTTTGCAAGCTAATATGTGATCCATGGGTCAGACAGACACAGTATTTGCATCCTGCAAAAGAAACACCAAGAAACAACTATGCTGAGAATTATGAAAAGCTCTTAAAAGACATGAGCTGCCATGTTGATACAAGTCCTTTCTGTGGATGAAATTGAGATATTTGAATTTTTAAGGTGAGGGGGTTTGTTTTGGCATTTGGCTCATGCAGCTGAGCATCTCAAAGCAAAGATTTTAGTAAGTTAAAAGAATTACAGTGCAAGGAAAAAGCTCCTTGGAGATTTTAACTACAGCCAATTATGAGCTTCCTGTCGTGGCTGAGTACTTCTCAAAGCTCACAAACTCTTCTAGAAGAATTCTTTTTTATTTTTTTTTTAAGAAAGAGAAGTAAACTTACAGTGAACTTAAAGATGAAAGGTACACATGTACATGAAGTAATGAGTAAGAGAGCTAGAAAAGAAATCACAAGAAACATACAGAATATCTTTAGAAGTTAGGAGGGAAACATCATGCCTCAATTTTAGCATGCTGCATTCGCTTCTCATACCTGTCAGATCCCAGAAGCCTGAATATCCTTGTATTATCAGAAATTTCTTGTGTGATCTAGACAATAAAAATAAAACAAGAATTTACATGTTAAGTGCACAGGTGATTTTCAGTTATTTCCTTTAGGTTGATTAAAAAGAAACAATGGCTAATATTACAAATCTACTGCACAATTATGGTGGCTAGCGAGTTCATTGCAAATGTCACTCATAAATGAGATCTAAAATGTTTGGTTTTGGTTTCTTCCCAGTTCTTGCCAAGTAATGTGAGCTCCTCTGGTAGCAACTGCAATCATATCAGCAAGGCTCAGCACTGCACAGCACAGCACCTGAGCTACTGGCACAATTCTTTTCACACTATGACTGAAATAAGTACCTGTATGGCTCTAATTGGTCTCACTCTACAGTAGGTGTCTGAAATGGTTCAGGTAAGCCACACACAATGCCTACACATTTCACTGAAATTCTCAATCATGATGATGCAGTAAGTTCATCCTTTCAAGACCTTGAAAGGAAACAATTGCATTTGTGGCACTTACGCCCATTGTGTAAAGTAATCTGTACAGTACTCTGATGTCTCATTGTGTATTGCAGGTGAATTGTACTTGTGAGATATGTCTTTATGATTATATGAATACCAAAAGTAGCAAAAAAATAGTCTCTTAACCAACAATGCCAACCAAAGTCCATTGAACACTCCAAAGGGTGTCGAGTCATACTGTGAGTGGGAAGCAGTGTTTCAAAGCTCCCTTTCTACATAGCCACATTTCATTTCCAAAGCCAGAAGAGATATTTCTCTCCTTCCTAGACCCTGGTAGCATTAGCTGTCTTAGTGAATACACTTATGGCACAGAGAATTTAAAAAAAAAATAAAAGAAAAAAAAAATTTGAAACAGTGAGGTTTCCCATTCTAAAATAGTTGCTTCAAGTCCACGTCTTGGCCCACGTTCTAGTCTTGTCTCAGCATTCACATGGTGTTTCACCTTTCCCAATCAATCAATCAAGTCGCTGTGGAAGGTCACAGTTGTGGAGGGAAAAGGTGAAATAGTCTTACGAGTGGCTAAAATCATTCCCAAATAGACTAGAAAATATTAGGCTAAAGAATTAGTAATAATTCGGATTCTACTAAAGTCTTCAAAGAGAAATGTGCTGCAGTGTTAGGATGGTAAGGGTGTTTTCAGTTGTAACAGCTTCTTACACACTACACAATTCCCACAGAGTAACAAAGGTGGTCACGATCCATGTCCAAGAATGCAGGCTTTTCACATTATCACTGGAAACTGGTTTATTTTTTTTTTCTTAATAGTTGTGGCTCCTAAAACAGCCAGAAGTGATAAGGAATTTTAAAAGGCCTGAGAGCTTACCCTAGGTACGCTCTACATAAAAAAGTTTGGGGTGACTTTCTGGCAATTGCTCAACTCAGCTGTCTGTTCTTCATCTGGATGCTGGCTTTGGCTTGATAATAACAAAGCAGGAAGGCAGTGTTCCTTATGCTTTACATAAACAATGTAAAGCATCCATTTGCGCTGCAGCACTCTGGGGCATGTCCTCTCACAACTGGATCAGAGCTTCTGAGTGCCAGTGGGTGGAGTAACATGCTGAGCTTTGCACAATGCTGCTAGCAGCAGTCTGGAGTTGGAGAAGTGCCTAGCGGCATCACCATCTCCTCATGCTCTGCGCTAACAGCACAGGAGCTACAGCTCACTTAGCATTATGAGTTCTTGGGAAAAGGACAGTCATGCCTGGTGATCCACCATGCAGAAATACCATGAAGTGCATTTGTAAACTTGGAAACAGAAAACAGGCTGACTCTAGTGTCTGGTCCAACTTCCCACGAAGAGCAGGATTACTGTCAGTATCGATTAGGTCAGCTGTAGCTCTGTGCAAATAAATGGAGTGGTGTAACAATGTGGGATATCTAGCTTTGGCATGGTATGACTACACATGTGCCTTAAAGTACAACTGGTCATAATGAACTCTCTCAGCAAATGTGACACTGATGAAGCAGCTGGTGAAGTCTGTAAGCATTCTTTAAAAATCCAATTAAAAGACTCATTAAAATCCTATACAATGCAGTGTTTTCACTAACACCTGGTTGCACAAAATTTAAAGCAGCAAAAAAAGGAGTGGGGAAGGTATTTACGACGATTTGGTACAATTTTACACCATTCCTGGCAAAACCCACATTCAGGCATCCACCTGTGGCAGGCTAAGGGGCCAATAGTAATGGTCTTCAAATTAACATAAGCAAGAATTAGTTGGATACTTTTCATGGCATGAGACACACTTAGGAAAAGATTCCAGTTTCCAGGTCTAACCTAGACAGTCACTGAAAAGTTTCAATCTTTCTCAGCCCACAACACCAGGCATTTATCCAGAACTTCACTTATATTAAGAACTAGAATTTGAAGCAAAATGCACTACTCACCTCATTTGATCTGAAACTCCTTCCTTGCATCCCATGTTTCCAGAAGGCTAACACACTGTCCTGTAGACAGACTGGTAACAAATACCGGAATCAGTTTTACATGCATAATACCAAATCATTCTTTTAAGGCCAAAAGCATATTGCTGCAGTTTTTATATTTTTATACATACATATCATGGTTTCAAGTTCACCCACACAGACTGCAAAACACCTCACAGGAATCACTGAACATGCCTCTGAAGTAGCTGCATTTATTTCTTTAAAGAGCAGAGTTTAAAAACATTGTCACTCAACTAGGAAAACACCTTTCTGCATAGGATTTTGTCCTAAAAACAGTCCTCACTCAAAATACAGTCCCTTCCAAGTCTAATACTTGCAGAAAATACAAAGTGAATTTTAGCCAAAAAGTTGCAAAGAACTTCTAAAGATATCACTGCAGTGATATTTTTAATCCATTACACAACTATTGGCTAATGTGGTCTTTACCCATCAGCTACGCAAAGCTTAACAGAAACCTTTACTTCCCAGCCATTACACTTGTCATACAAACAGAACGATGTTACAAACTCAAATCTTCTGAAAGAAAACGCCCATCAAGGTCCTTCCTCACAGAGAGCGTAAGCGTGGAATAATCTGTCCCACCTGCATCCAGCATCCCACGTCTGTGAATCAAGGGAGGGATACAGGAAATAGAGCAGAGCTCTTTAGAAACACTTTTAAGGACTGAGAAGGAGAGTGGTAGCTCACTTGTGATGAGCAGAGACAGGACTATAGCACAAGCAGAGGTACCAACAGCGAGCAGATTCAGGTACACTTGCTCTTTCCCTCCCCTCGTTCCTAACTAACAGGAACCACAGAAGCAACGTTCTCCCCGTCACCGCTGGAAAATTATCAAAATGGATGTATTATATATCTCACAAACCTACCTCACTGAGATGCTTTACAAGAAAATAACTGGTGTTACTGATGTGAAATGTGACGTGTATCGATTTAGTCTTTGAGCTGCTTTGTAAAGACAGACTGCATGAACACACATGCAGAATGAGTTAGCCGTGAGTGAGTCACAGGGTTAAGTAGGTTGTATTAAAGTTTTCTTTTAGAGGCTGAAGGTCTCCGTCATTTGCAGACCATTTAGCCTAACAAGGGAAGACTCCAGAGTTATTACTCTGTTTGGATTGCTCCAGGGGAAGCACGCTATGTAACGCGTTAAACCGCCCAACACAAAGTGAAAGGCTCAAGATAATGTTTCACATGCCAAAAGACTTGAGAGTTAGCATTTCTAATTCTGTGCTGTAAGAGAAAACAAGCTAATCAAATATTCAGTATTAATACTGACTTACCTATTGATTCAATCTGAAAGTCAAATGTGAGTTCTGACGACAGTTTGCGGCTGGATTTTAACCTGCCTTGCAGATTCACTATTTTTATGCAGCCTAGACAATAAATAGGACACACCAACAGTTAATCTTCGATATGACCTAATTTGAAGACATACAGTATGCATGAACATGTATGTGTATGTATATATTGAGCTGATCCTCACACTTACAATCCAAACACACCAAAATGGTGTCTCTCTCCAGCTGTGTTACATGCACAACACTTGTTTCTGTAGTGTCTATAAAAAAAAAAAAAGATAGTGTTAGTTCATAAAATAAATTACCATGAAATCTGAAATGGAACTTCTAAAGACTGAGACAATTTAATGGGTTAGTGTGTTTTTATCTGTTTAAAACCATCATCTACTAGTGACATTTCTCTTCCCTTTGAGAGCCATGTCCATTTACCCAACTTGGTGATTGTGACAGGAAAACTAAAGCTGTAGTACTAAAGCACAGACTTAATCCAGTCTTTCCTGAGCCATATTGCAAAAGCAAGCTCATGCATACACTGTATTTTGTACACCTATTTTATTCTATGGGACTCATTTAATATTGCTGTTGCAAAAAATGTATAATGTAGGACTGTCCACACTAAACCTGAACAATGTTCCAGTCCATTTTGCTTCTGCCTTTATTTCTCGATCAAGCTAGGAACATTTATATCAGAACTTCATTCTTGATGCTATTTTTATACTTTCTATCCACAAATATTAAAAAAAAAAAAAAAAGAAAAAAAGAAGGGGGTATTATTGGTGTATGATTTTCTTCTCCAAACCTGCCTTTTAAGTTAAGCTGCAGCAGTCTCCATCACAGCGAACAGGGAAACCTGATCCACAAGTGATCAGTGGACATATCAACTCAAAAAGAAGTGCTGTTTAGAATTAAACAGAAGACAGCCTTCACAACTCAGCACTGCTGCCAGTGATTCCATACACATTCTTTTTTGCAAAAAGGGAAACTCATTAAATCTGTTAGAGATGAGCAATTGCAGCATGTTATCTGAAGTATCTAATAAAGCCCATGGTCCTGTTGAGAAGCTAAAACCCTCTCACAGATGATGTCAGGAGTGTGCTCCTCGAGATGGCCTCTCCATCTTTTATTCTGCTGTTTGGTGTTTTGGAAGGTATACATTAACAACCTGAACACATTTCTAGTGTGTCACTTTAACCAAAGCTGGAGATAGCCATGATGAAAGCATGTAACAGAAAGACTGGAGGACATATATGTGTGCACCCACATCATGTGATGTAGAAACACGTGCTGCACTGGCTGAACCCAACAGGAAAGGGAGGGAAAGGGAAGAAAAAAGCAAGCCCCTGCAATAAACTTTATGACAGCTACTTTTTTTTTCCCCCTTCACATCTTCATCAGACATTTACAAACAAAATGTCAAATGTCAAACAAAGTCTGACCATGTCAAATGCTCTCCTCACTTAAAAACACAGAAAAATCTGATCGCATTATTGCCTTCCAGTCAGCAGAGGACAAGAAGAAACCAAGAGTTAAAATTAATGTTAAACAAATAGGAGAAAGTAACAGACATAAGGAGAGAACACACAAATGATTCAAGGAGGCTAAAGAAGTATTTTTGGAAAGAATAATGCAATGTTAGATTATGCATGTGAATAAAATGAAAGGAACAGGGAAGGAATTACCGTTCTTATATTTACATTCAGACAGACAATACAGTGAGAGAATGACAACAAGATGTTATGGTTCAAAGAAATTCTATTTGGCATGCTACTTTTATGGACCTACTCAAGAGACAGAATGGATGTACAAGTTTGAAAATAAAAGGCACTAACTCTCAAGTGATAAGTGCATTAATTGTCCAACCGCTGATCACTTTGCTTTCTGTAAAAAATTTTTAAAGCTTTTCAGCAGCAAGAAAATCAGCAGGCATCCTTCCAGTGGAAACCACTCCTTAGTGAATTCCAGAGGATACAATTAGCCATACACACCTATGTTGTCCTGTGCTGGCATATACAAATTCTCCATGGATCAACAAAGACTCTTTGCCTAGCAATAGCTATGTTATTTACTGCTTTTATACCTGCAAGCCATGACTGGACTCAGCTCACTACTGTCCCTAGGTTTAGAGAGATTTTTGCTAACTCCAGAAATATAATTCTTAGCACACTTTCTTTTCAAGAGTTTCTACTGTAATTCAGATGCTGTGGCCTTCTCACCCATACAGCACTCAGACTAGTGACGGACAGGTGCTTGGATTTCTCTTATCAGCAGTCCTAACTCCTTCTTATTCCATAAACATCACACAGAACAGAAACGTGCTGCTCCTCGGCAGGAGGCCAACAACACAATTTCTGACCATATTGGCCAAAACGGACAAAACCAAACCACACCGACAAAGATTTTGAAAGCAATCGCTCAGATTGTTGTTCTATTAAAATCCACAAAGTAAACAGAAATTACAGTGTCAGAGGAGAGCACATAATGGCACGGCGGGTAACAGGCACAGCCTTATGTATGAAAATGCAAAAACTACAACTCCATCCTCGAGATCGTAACAGTAATTCAATCAGTTCAATTATAGAAGCATTAAAAAAGAAGAAAAAGGGTGCATAAGCAAGCAGGTACAAACACCCCTTTAAACAAAAAACTTTAACAATTTAAGCATTAGTTTTGTCAAAGGCAACTACCTTTCTAGTACTTCAACTAAAATAGAAGAGCAAGGAGCACTTCTGAAAGTAATCACAAGAGCATGCACAAACCTGTTTCTGTAAACCACGAAGAGGTAGAATTTGGGTTGACAGTCTCAAACTTCACCACCTGGTTGAAGTCCCTTCCTCTACTGACACCAACACAAACTAAAGGGAATTCCTGCTCAGGGACTACCAACATTTCAAACAATCTCAGTGGACAAGGTACAGGAAAATCTATGTGCTAGATTAAGAAACAAAAACATGTATTAGAAAGGAAACAAGTTTACTATTAGCTATTTAAACTGTATCGTAAATGTTAGCCCATAGACTTACTTCTTCACAAAACAGTAACTGATAGATACACAAAGCCTGAGTTGAGAAGATTAGAAAGTCCTCCTGCTGATTTGGTTAAAATAGATCGAATGTCTTTCATCATGCGAGCTCTGTGCAGCTGCTCACAGAGAACAGGAGTGCTATACCCAGGATTGCTCTCCCTGGCCATGGAGTTTCTAAGCTCTAGCTTCCCAGGCCAATCAATTCATAGCAGCTGTGTCTCTGCAAACACACGTCCACCTTGCTTCCACCTTTTCTGATAGTGTCAGATAGGGAGAAAACAAGCATTTCTGGGCACCTGCAGAGTCACAGAGCACTGAACAAATGGTTCAGTCTAAAGACCAGTTTTTTTTTTTAACATTTATTTAAAAGACAACACTCATACAGAGAAGAACTTTGACCTTCTACTGAAACACACTACAAAAAACCCCAAAACATTCACATATTTTTAAAGCCTGTAAATATCAATTGCAGACATTTGAGTAATTAACTTCAACGTAATTTAACAGAAACAGATGTGTATGCCTGGTAACAACTAAATTGTTCACTTATTTCCTGTTTTTTAATAACACAACAAACAACTAATAGTTAACAATTCATTACAAGATAAACAGAATCAAACATCAGGGAATTTCATTGTATTACGTTACCTTGATTAACATGAATTTTTGCATTGGTTCAACCCATTCTAACAAAACAATACTAGACTGTAGTGCTCCACAAAGGTACTTGTGGCCTGTGTAGGGATTTCTCACTGTCAGAGAAGAAGAGGTAACATACATTAGTACAATAAGCAAATGCAAATTATAAACGATTTTCAACTAAATAACACTTCACATATTTCTGGAAAATAAGCCCTCCTATCCCACTCTAACCTTTCCTAAAAGGAAGCTGCTGTAAAGTCAACATTCACACTTGGAGAATGGCAGCAGCAAGCATGCTTGCCTTTCTTCTGGGGATAACAAACTAGCAGCTTGTGCCAAATAAGCCACAAAAACTTTGACTCTCACCAAGAGAACTGCGGCACGTTTGACATCTTCAACTCAAAGCTGAGTGCTGATTCTTGAACTTGTGGACAGGATTTACTATTTTAGACAGGCTAAATAATAACAATGTTATTAATAATAAAGGTGCACACACGTACACTTTAAGCATCTTGCTCCAGCATGTTTATTTGCCTAAATTATCTCCAAATTACCATGAGAAGCTGTTAAGGAACCATTTTTTTCTATGAGACACAGACACTAGGAATTGAATAGTCACTGCTGTTTGAGAACTGCTCAGATGTTTTTCAAATACCATAATGGCAAGTCTGAAATCCAAGCACTGTATAAGCATTAGCAGGTCAGCACGAAATCCAGCTTTCAAGTGACACACCGTTCCCACTCAACTGCACTTCCTATTTTTATCAGAGCTCAGTTAAAAAGAGGAAAGAGGTTGATAAAGCTGAAAAGCAGAGCACTGTGAAACAAACTTGATTCTACATTAATGACAAAATCTTGCTCCTTAATGGATATGCAGGCATTGCTTAAGAAGTACGAGGGCTGCTCCAAAAATAATGCCTCCTATTTCATTACACTGGCCCACAGCATTAGAGGCAGAAGTTGGTGGTACGACAGCTGAGGTTGAACCTTCCCACAAATATCCCATTACACTTTGTTGCTGCATGACAGATGACAGCAGAGGGGCAGTCTGACAAAACTGCATCTGACACGGAAATGCACGTGAAGTAAAGGCGTGGAAGTGAATTCCTCCATGGAGAGGAAATGGCATCCACTGACATTCAATGCTTGTTAAGCACTGATGGAGACCACACAACGGATGTGAGCACAGTGAGGCAATGCGTGCTGTGTTTCAGCAGTGGCAACAGCAGATCACATCTGCTGGTGCAGATTTGTACAAGCACGGCACACAGGTTCTTGTTCACTGCTGACAAAAAAGCATAGCTAGTGATATTTTGTAGCTGAGAATTTGCTCTATCAAATAGCAGTGTCGCATTCTTTGTATCTGCTGTCATTTCCAAGGAAATAAATAGGAACCATTATTTTCAGAGCAACCTATCTGAAGATCAGATCTTAAACTGCAGCAAAGTAACCATCAGCCATCAGGTAATTAACAACAAGGATCAAGTAACAAGCCCCTAACCCAGAATGATCTACATACATGACAAATCATACTTTTGCTATTCCACTGTCACAGAAATCCACTAGCAATCCATTGGCATCTGAAACACCAAAGCTCAATCTCATTAATCCAAGTTCTCATTTGCTACCAGCCAAGGCAACTGCAAAATACAACTTGCACTTGCCATGACCCTCAGCAAGGCTGAACTCAGCAGCAGAAACCACAGAACAAGCAATTACCAACACCTGTAAACAAGAGAAAGAAGACCAGAACTTCTGGTCCTTTTCTGCCTCCTACAGCCCTGCTGATTTCCCTAGGCCAAAGAGATCATCTCATACACCGCCCGCAGCAATAGAGACCCAGGCTGCACGTAGCAAGCAGGGCCCAAGGGCGGGGGATCTGTCACCTCTCCCCTTAGATCTGCCTTTTGTCACTCCACACCCCTACATTACATCCAGAACACTGAGGAGTGAGAGGCTGGGAATTCTCTTTCAGCATCCATTAACATCCACAGACAGACCAGACTCCTCAACTACGGCAAGGCCTGGATGTACATAGCACACAATGTTAACACCCTACCACACCCTAGAGGATTTGTATCCCAGAAGAAGTCAAGTTTTAACAGGCAAACTGGGCACAGAAGTGACAAGATAAGTAAGAAATTTCTTAGCAAAATCAGGGAGATTTTCATTTTTCATCAGGGTGACAGACACTCACGACTCAAAACCTTCTGTATAATTCCTCATACCAAAGAACTGATTATGGAACTTATAACTCTGAATGATCTCCCAGTGTCATTTCTCCCTTTTAAAACACTTCTTAACAGATTACGCAGTTAAGTTTTAGGCAGTTGGCACTCTGAAGATGTTATAAACACTTCAGGGATCATCCTCAAAGATTCAAAAATACTGTTTTCAGCAACCAGTATTAATAATTGGAACTTCTGCTAGGAAGTCAGGCTACTTAACCTGATAACTTATTTTAAAAAGGTCACACTGCATCCATGGAGATTAGTTTCATCCCAAGGACTGGCTTTAATTTGTTGCGTTCTGCTTCCCTGCATTTTCTTGAGAACTGTCCTTATCTTTAAAAACTAAGAGAGAAATGGGGAAGTTTTCACTGCATAAATGCAAAGGACTAATGTGACTGAGTTCACCATCTGCAGATGCATAGTTCCACAATAATTACAGAAAAGCCTCTTCTCCTAAAAGTAACAAGTCTTAGCATTGCTACCATTTGTACTGCTTATCAGAGCTTATTCTGCAGATCTTTACTTACCAACACAACATTTTTGACACCATTTAGTCTCAGGAATTTTTGTAGACACAGCAAATTTCCTGCAAGATAAACACACAACTATCAATCAATCAACTAAAGTAACTGAATTTCCTTTCAGAAAGTTGCTGCTGTGAAAATTCTATTTGTCCATCAGAAAAATAAAACATGTATTTGTCTCTCTCTTCTCAAAACAACATGCTTAGAACATACAAGATGATCTGTTTTCAAGCACTGAGATGTTGCTGAGTTATGCAGCATTATGAATGCAGTTAGAAAACAATCTGTAACCTGTTACAACATAGACAAGGGAAATTAGGGCATACTAGTAATAGCTATGAGCCACTTGCAAACAAACACCTTAAGTTTTTCAAAGCTTTTTGTAGGCAGAGCAGCATGAGTTTCAAGAGAAGATCTGAAGGAGGACAGGAAGGCAGTTTTGCAAGATCTTATTTCCTGTGTAGGGAACATTCCCTGAGAAATCATGAGAATAACTGCTTGAGAAATGATTAAATAAGCAAGGGGAGATAGTGTTCTTTGCTGGAAATGGGAGTCAATGCTTCTGAACAGACTAGATGACAACAAACTGTATGAAGGTTGACCACAGTAGCCTCAACACTGAAAATTACTCATTTGATAGACAGTGCAGATAAGATGGGAATAAGTGGAGCAACAGACTGATGCTGCAGCCAAAGCTACAAACTAGGAAAACACTCGCACAGTATTTCAAAGCTGTCCAGAAATGACTAATAACATACTAGGACTGAGATGCACAAAAATAGTATCAGTCACAAGTTTAGGCTGGGAGAAGTCAAGAAAGGCTTGAAAGGACCTACTCAGGGACACTCAAAATAAGGAAGCTGGACAGGAGATTTACCACAGACTTACTTTCTGTTTCTGAATGCCTGCCTACCAAGTATCAGTCTGAGCTTCAACCATTTGGCAATGACCATACTGAAACTTACATAATAACTTCAAAAAAACTAACAAAATTTTATTTTGCTTTGTATTTTCTCTGCAGGAAACTGTTTGTAATGCATGTTCATTATTTCATATTGTACTCATCACTATAGTAACTAAGATCTTGCTGCAGAATATACTTTGTGGTTTGGTAAGGAACAAAAACTATGCTCTTCTGCATAAGCCAAATGTAACTCTAGTAGTCTGTCTAGCTAATGTTACTACTGTGATGCCTTACAGCTGAAGGATAAGTCAACAAAACAGATTATCTAAATAAATCTGTCCTGCTTTTGAATGACTAGCTTGGCACTTGTACATTCAGGTTATGCTGCATTTTTCTTGGGACGCAACAAGACCGAACAGGAAATTTTTTCCAAGCCTTCTGGAACTTAGGTATCATTTCAGATTGAAAACGGTGTGAATTTGTTCCTTACATGACCCATGTAATTATTAAGGTTATCAGTCTACTGCCGTTACAATCCTCAACCCAAAGCCATCCAGATGAAGTTAGCTTGGAAGACAAAGGAGCTGAACTGTTGTGCAGACACAAAGACAAAAACATTTCAATACAAATTTCTAAGAATTCAACCTCTAGGAAGAACACAATTTTTAGGTAAGTGTTGCACCACTATGCTTGCAGATGACTGAACAAAAAGTCTTTCCCAGATCTGAAACGTTAACAAGTTGGCAGTAGTACCAAAGGTAACTGAGAATCAGGTCTGCTATAAAACAATTTCCTAACAAAAAAGCCTATCAAATAAGAAAATCCAATGATTCACTATGCCCTTTAAGTATCAAGTTGCTTTGCAAACTAGGTTAGTGTTACCATCTCCTCCTCTTTGATTTGAATGAGCTCTGAAGGTTTGTTTGGCGGCCAGCACTGCATCCAGCCTATGGGATTTTGCACACTCTTGCTAGTAAATAATGTTGGAGGGACTGCATGCATGATGCACTGTAAGCATCTGGGGACAACAATTCTCCTGTAATACCTTCCACTCTGGCCTGCAAGAAATGACTTGCCAATAATGTGAGACAAATCCATGTTCCAGTTCTATTTTGCCCAGCTTTCAGAATAGCCTGTCAGCCCATTCCTTCTGCAGTAAGGGTCATCAGGACAATCTCCCCAATGAGAAGTCAGGGAAATCCATTCAAGTACAACTTTTTTTTTTTTTTTTTGATAGAACAGAAAACAAGCGCCAAGAACTCATGCAAGGTAACTAATTTAATATCATTATTTCTAGTCGCCTGAAATATCACAGGTACAATACTGACCCAAGATTTAGTTTCACAGGTACGATCACAGCTTGCTATACTAGACTGTAGCTTCTAAGAGCTAAGCCCAGAAACTAGAGGCTTCACAACCATAAGGTGAAATGTACCAAATCCTATTTCTTTGTTAAGAATATATTCACATCTCAATTCATGTAAATATGGGGAGGTCTACATTCTGATTAACGTCCACATGAGTTACTTGTTACGGAAATGTGTGAACAGCATTCCAAATTGTTTGCAATTCCCTGACTTTCACAACCATACCCTGAATTCTTACTATCAAGATGTTCTGATATTATCTGATGAGGTGAACTTACCTGGGAAGTATCCGGTCAGGAAGTTTATGTGCTGGAATAGCAACAGGTAACTTTTGCATTTGCCTTGCATAATCAAAGAGTCCTGGCAGATTATGAGAATATAGCTGAGAAGCTTTACCTGGAAATTAGAAAAAAAAACACTTCAAATACGAAAACAAATGTATACCTGCACTACCACCCAAAGATGGCAGAGTAACTTACCAGATATTGATAATAAGCAATTGTTCATGACATATAACCACGTACACCTTCGAGGGAATAGCTAATAAAGGGAAGAAAAGCAAACATTCAGTTCATTTACACAAAATGTAAACACATTACACTGATTAATTAATGTCTTCATAGACAACAGGACAAAACTAATATTGACTTGAGCTAATTCTGTTACAAAGAGCAAGACAATTAATATTTACCTGGATTCCAAAGTTAAGTCCTTAGGCACACACATTATATTTAACATACACATTAACAGGTAGACAATTGGAACATTTTATATCCACGTCTTCAAGTATAGCACCATTAGCCTGCAAAGTGTCATTATAAAGATCAATCCATTTTTTTCCCAGAAATTTTAATAACCACCAGCCTTTCTCCTTCAGAGGGGAAACACTTAACAACATAAGTGTGGTATAAAAACTAACTTCATTCTAAAGCCTGTAGTATTCCAAAGTCTTAAAATAATTAAATCTGGCACTTCAAATGACTTTTTAAATCTTCATGTGATTACATATTTCTCATAAGTAATCAAAGGATGCAAAAAATGGTCAAGGCAGAACTGCTATTAGTCATATTACTGGACAATTACTGGAAAGAAGGGACTGCAACTATCAAAACATCCTTTTAAGAAAGAAGAAAAATTAAAAACACTTTTTCCCCCCACCTCTCATATAACTTCTGGAGCTTCCTGCCACAACTGATCATGGAAACAGACAGGATCAACATGTCCAACAGGTCCATAAATGGATACAAAGGCAAACAGGCAGGGATGTACCCTCCAACAAGCCTAATTCAACGACCACAGAGGAGCTTGAGGGGAGTGGCCATCAGGCAGTGGCAGAGCTCACAAGCATTTCCTCCTGCCACTGACCACTGCGTTAGAGAGATCACCTAACAGGTCATGTCCTTCACTCTTTATCATAACAACAACACAACAAATTTGAGCAGATCTGTAAATTAACTGAAAGTTTTATCTGCAGGAAAGGAAAATACCATCTTGAAGCTGTGCTAACTTCTGAAAACGCATACAATTTCTGCTTTGCCTGTCAGTGGAATGAAACAAAGTGGAAAATAACCAAGAGAGTAATACTTTGGCTAGACCTAGAGAGTAAATAATGAAGTGAAAGAGGATTCCAAAACTCTATTTGAGTTGAAATCTTTTTGACTGTTATAGTAAATAATGAGATTTAGGTTAGATGTTAAGAAGAAATTCTTTACTCAGAGGGCGGTGAGGCGCTGGCACAGCTGCCCAGAGAAGCTGTGGTGCCCCATCCCTGGAGGTGCTCCTGGTCAGCATGAGCTAGATGGTGGCAACCAGCCCATGGCAGGCAAGTTGAAACTAGGTTATTTTTAAGGTCCAACCTAAGCCATTCTGTGATTTCATGTAGGAAATGGGTAGCACAGAGGATGCACTTCTATTCCGGAAGTCTTTTTATAACCTAAACACACTATAAAACACCTAAGCCTATGCTAAAAATCTAACAGTCTGAATACACGCAAATTTAATTTGCAGGTTTGACTGACGTTCCATACTGTGACTGAGAATGCTTGAATCTTAAAATTAGAGAAAAAGAACAGCAATACTTGAATATTCAGGTTGATTGAGTTGTCACACATTCCTCCACTTACATACAGCTGGCTGTTTTGACTAGCACCTCTTTGTGTTTAAGTACTTATTAAAACGCTTCCTTAAAGGCTCACTTTACAATGAAATATAGAATGCAACACTTATAGAAAACAAAGGTAAACACGAGTGCATAAACTTCAGTTTATCTATTTTCCTTGCCGTTTTTCAAGAACTTCTGTAGATCTGTTCAGCCTGCAGGGATTACTGTATTAGTGATATTTCTCAGGGTATATTTAACAACTTCAGCAACAGCAAGGTACCTGAACTAAGTTAACTACCAGAATGATTATGGGTCACGTGGAGCTCAGCGCAAACTATTTAGGCCTTCTTCCCCACACAAAAGACACCTCTACAAAGTCTGGACCCTGGAAGATGAACAAACACCAGTGCCTCCAGCTTACAGTGTGAAGGCTGTCCTTGCAAATTCCTCCATCTCGATGGCAGATGCATAGCTCCCTAAGTTAGGGAGAAGGCAGGAAAGAAAACAAGTCTCTTAGAAATTAACAAAAGAGCCGGAGAAGTCACCACACAGAATAGCCTGCCACTGGCATTTCCCCCTCCCCAGTATCCCCGCAAAAAAAAATTACTATTTATGAGATCCACAAAGACAGAATTTTAAAACTGGGGTTCAATTAATTTAAGTCTCATCAGCAAAGCTGCTTTTAACACTCTAAGGATGGAATTCAGTGTACAGATCTCACTTCTCTGTAGCCAAAACGGCACCTCTGCTTAAACAGTCTACTTTGTAACACAACTTCAAGGAAAACAAAAACTTTCACACCACCTGTATCAGGGAAATTCAATGCTATTGAACAAATCATTTACTCCAAGATAATGCACTACAATGAAATTCAACATATTAATATGTGCAGACCTTCTACAAAAGTACGGTTCAACCTAGAAAAAAACTTTATATGATTGCAACATATCCTCAATAGTAAACATGGAAGGTAAAACTCAGTACTAGTGCCTATGTAACTACAGTGAAGAGGATTCTTAGAAACATCACACCAGGTTAACCAGTGGCTAAAAAGTGTCAGAAATGATGGATTTGGCTGTTAGTGTTTTTTTCAAAGATGCCAAAACAAATATACCTGCTCCATCGATGTTTCATGAAGTTCGTTGAGGTTCAGAGTGTATATACCTTCTTCTGCACCAAATATCAAGTACTGATCTGTAAACATGAACAAAAAAACTCCAGCAATACTGACTTAAGGAAGGAGGGTGTTATTTTGTTGTTCTTCTCTTAAGAGCACTCTTTGCAAATCCTTTATTGAAAACAGACCTAAAACAATTACATACAGGAAAACAGGACAACCTATAATAGTTATAATGTTGAAAGCACAGAAAATTAATCTTTCCAAGGAAGCTTACACATTTATGGATGAATGTTGTCAGCTGTTCTAAAACTTTATGAAGATAGCTCAGGTTTTGTTTGTGTCTAACTAGGAAAAAAAAACAGTGACACAACTACAAGCAAGAATTCACATATACAGATTTCTGACTTAAACATTTCCATACATTTCATGACACATCCACGGCTGTTTTTTTTGGAGTACATCAACAGCAGTATTGACTGGAAGGCTTTTTCAGCACTTCATGTATGCCTCGCTTCTCGAGTATGATTCACCTGTTTACTGTGATTGCAGCTGAAGTTAATTAACGGCCTTGTTTGCATTTGGACAGTCAAAGATCTCATATTGAGAAGATGTCAGCTGCAAAGACTGACTCTCATAACTTCCATTTCTGTAAAACTAAATATTTTCTTGCTAATTGGTTCAGCAGTATCTGTCTAAGCAGCCTATAATCTAAAGATGAAACTGAAGGTAATATGAGTACAGTGCTACCAGTTTTCACTTCTGTCAAGCTATTTAATAAACTAATAAAACGTGAAAATGAAGAGATCTCAAACTTGTACTAACAGGAAGATATATGGAAAAAATATATATACATCAATGATAGAGAAGCAATTAATTTGAAGCAGGACTTTTGGAATTTGGATTTTTAGAAATAAATTAGGAGTGGCATCTTTTGAACTACACAGTTGAAAAGAGTCGTGAATCACAATCAAAATATGTTTACTTACCTTTATTTAGCATGCAATTTATTCTTTTTTAATCAAAGCTGAAAACTGTGCCTCATATACTTTAATGTAATTTAAGAAAACACTGTACTTGAGGCAGCAGTGGTATAATTAGAGAAGAATTTCTTCTTATGCCTACATAAATATTAAAAGATACTTTAAGGAGAGCAGTCCTGCTCATCTGAACAGTACTAAAATCCTAGGAGAGGACAAAATTGGGTAAAAGATATGTAATATACTACCTCTTGTATCTGGATTTATCCATGATGTTGCACAATGAATTTTTAACGGACAGCCATTGAAAACCTTTGAAAAGCAAGCGCCCATCTGTGAAAAAATAATTAAATACATGTATATGTAAAATATAAATAAAACATGGCATTTTCAATGAAATTATTTTGACTTAAAGTAGTAACAAGCTAAGAATAGACTCGTTTGTCTGGTGGAGAATAATCTCAACGAGACAACATGGTTGCAAGTCAACTTGGTTGGGTTTATTTTGCTGTTCATTTGGCTTTTTAAAGAGCTATGTTATGAACTAAAGATCCTTCTGAATAAATATGCCACAAATAGCATTTGTGAAGTAGCTCTTAAATTTACTACTCCAGCACATGCTCACTATAAATGGGAGAAATCTGAAAAAGGTCCCTGAAATTCATGATTTTCAAAAACACTCTCAATACTGAAACTTTACTCTTTACCATACTTCACAAACACAAAATAAATCTTTTAGTCATGCAACAATTAAAAACTTCGTTTCGGTTTTCTGATGATACATTTCTGATGATCTAATGATACACATTCTGATACATTTACAGTACTGATTGCTTTCTGAGGGGAAATCTCCAGCAGAATTTCAGTCCTTTTTCAGAATAATCTTAATAAACTTGGTTTACCTATTAGAGTCACACACAGAATACCACTATCGATCTCTGAATTTTCCCCCAAAGGACGCACTAGCATTATATATTATTTATATTTTTTATATATTTTATATATAAAGATTATATATTAATAGACATGTGTTTATGTACTACATATTCGTTTATATATATATATATATATAAAAAATCAAAATATATATAATCAATTGCAAGAACAGTTGGTAAATTTGCATTAAGATGACTGAAAAGAAGCCAGAATTTCCTCTTTGCCTTCCCAATTGCCCATACTATTTTGTTATGAAAGAGTGGATCAGTAGTACTGTAGATGAAAAGAACTGATAAAGTAGAAACAATTAGCAAAGGGAAATGCTACCATTCATATAGGCAAACACAAGAGCTACTCATAAGTGTTCCTGTTCCAAATATGAGCAGATATTAACTTTATGCAATGGCTCCTATACTCTGTAAAGGGCTACGAAATAGCAATATCTTCACTTTATATTAACATTATGAATTATTATTGACCTATAATTGCATAAGCAAATAGCTCCCATGTCAATATTTTGGGGTTTTTTTTTGTGTGTGTGAACCTTCTGCTGAAACAGGAAGTCAACAGAAATTTCAGTCCCTTGTGAACACAGTTTAGTGTAAAAAGAAAAAGATTTCAGAATTAACCATTTAACATTAAAAGAAGCAGAACTGAGATCTTTCTTTGTGTTTTACACATCTCTCTCTCACATCTCTATCAGGAACACTATGAGTTGGTCTGTATGTATTTCCAAAAGAGAAAAACAAAATTCATGAATGGCATCAGCAAAATGTTGAAGACCCCACTGCACAAAGAGAAGGGGAAAGACTTCAGCGCTGCTGCATGACTAAATAAGTCTCAGCAGAAAGAAGGGAGCTGGCTGCTTGCTAGACATTAAGATGAACCTTCCACAGGCATAAGAACATAATAACTAAGAGACAAGATACAGACAATGAGGCAGGAATATGAGAAGATAATGACACAGAGTGATCTCAATGTACTGACAGCTTCCATGCTGCCTAAACCCTTGGCAGCAAGGAATTTGGAGGAGGGATATCAATGAAAGCAATACAAGGATCCTATGGAAGCCTTCTCCCAAGCATGCAGGACTCTGAAGGCACACTTTGAAAATTCAGATGGCAACTGAGGCAGTGATCTCCCGGAAAAAAAGAAAGAAGTATTTCTGCCGTTGCTGTAAGCAGCTATGCAATTCTCCTTGACTCTTTTTTGAGCACTGGAAAGAAGCACTGCACAGTGCAGGCAGGGCTATGCTTGCTGCTAAGACCTCGCTTAGCTCTGCAGTACAAAGATGGATGAAGAAAATGGGGTTGAAATCAGAAGAAATCAATTAATTTTTCTCTGGCCTCTCTCAGCCCTCATCTCTGAGACGCCTGCAGAGCCAACATGCTGCTGCAAATGCTTTGGAAGGGTAAACACAGCCTAAGGGTATCATTTCTCCAAATATCAAACAAATCCCAAGGATACAGCTGAGAATCATACAGAACAAAATACTAAACTGAGTTGCTAGGGGGGAAGCAAGAAACAAAAACACTAGATAAAAGGTTGAAGCAAGGCAACTTGAACTGCCTGCTGCCACAGAGGCATTTAAGTCTGGAAGGAATTTGAGGAGGCAAGGCATCCTCACATTGGTAGGATATATGATGTATCCCCTGAGCTGCAGGCCACCTAAAATAGCAGGGAAAAAACACACGGCCAGAGCAGGTTATTAAGAAATTTGAACCAAGTCTCTAGAGACACAGACAGCCATGCATAGATACCACTGTAAACAGAGTCCCAGAACATCCAGCTATTTTTGAGGGCAGCAACATACTGCAACATACTTATTTGCAACTGATTATTTGGCTACTGATGGAGACAGGCGGTAGATGGACGTGCAAATGCCAAATCAGTCTCTACTATTTAACAGGACCTGCAGCACCGCAGCATTAGCATACTATGAAGATACACGAATTTGCAGAGAGCAGTCCAGCTACAAGGAATTATTTGACCAACTCCAGAACTTTTTCTATTCATTCAGTCTCTTTTCTAGCTCTATTATAAGGGCAGCTGGCAGTCATTCTCTGATGGCACGTCCATACAGCTTGTAGTAGGAACTCAACACAAACAACAGCTCAAAATGAGAAGTATTATTTTCTACCTTTTTTCTTATTCCATTTACTATTTGAACTTATTTGTCCTTTGCCATGATGACAGGGTTCCTCTTAATGCTAGAGTACTTTCAAACTGCTATCATCCACTAATTACATGTATGCACACCTATGTCACACATTTACTTAGGAATTTAGTTTATTAAAACAGAACTGACCTCAAAAAACAATACTAAATGTATTTAATAAATGAAGAATATGAAGCTCTGGATCAATCCTATGCATTTACACGAGAGATGATAATTCTAAGAAACATAAGCAGGACTTCTGCCTTAGCCCTTCCCATTTCCCTAAAATGTTTAATAAGCAGAAAAGAAAAGAAAACAAAGAATCATTTGCATTTATGCATCCCTAGCAGTAATTCTGTTTTCTTACCTAAAGATGAAAAACTGATCTGACTTAGGAGTAATACAGCAAAAAAAAGTTAGCTTTTAAACACATCAATACTCCACTTGTTTCCCAGGACAACTACATGAATGCATACTCTACAATATAAGGATGAGAGGGGCTGTGGCAGATGCAAATGGCCAAGGGGAGATATGAGCTCTTCTGATGGCAGTTCTGACTAGAAGCACAGTGACAAGTTCACAAAGACATTACAAGGGCTGCTCCAAAGTAATGCCTTCTATGTTATGATGCTGGATCACAACATCAGAGGTGTATGCTGGTGGTATGGCAGTAGAGGCTGAACCTTCCCACTTACATCCCATTACATTTTGTTGCCTTGTGACAGAACGGCATCATGGGGGCAGTCTGACACAGTGACATCTGACATGGAAGCAAATGGAGCAAAGCGAGGAACTGAATTCCTCTGTGCAGAAAAAATGGTGCTCACTGACAGTATCTACACTTGTTCAGCATTGATGGAGATCAAATAGAGGATGTGAGCACAGTGAGAGGTGAGTGGTGCCATTCCAGCAGTGGCAACAACAGGTCACCATTGCTGGCACAGACTTTATTTCTCACAAGTGCAGCATGCAGGCTCTTGTTCATTGTGAAATTGCACAACTAATAATGGTGACTTTACTGTATTAAATAGTTTACTGCACTCTCTGTAGCTGTTGAAATTTTCATGAGGATAAGTAGGAGGCATTACTTTCAAAGCAACCTACATACAATAAAAATCCAGTTTGCTTTAGATTATGAAGGTGCACACAGAGGACCATAACAAGTTATTTCCAGCCCTAAGACATCTGTGAATACAGTGTTCAGAAGTTCCGAAATCTACAGCTGCACAGTATAAACTTAGTGTCACTTGCAACTTCTGAGACACATCAGCTCCTCAGATCCTACAGGGAAAGACTGATCAGCAAGCATCTTCAGTGAACTTGAAATTAATTTATGATCACAGAACTCTCATTTACATTCTAATGGAAATTAGATGGAAACAAACTAAAAGACCTTCAAAATTCACTTAGCACAAGATCAAGTGTGACTTTTGTTCTCTGTACACTTACAGATTAACATTTCCAAGAGATATTTTTATACTTTATTACTGTTGTTATTTTAAATACAACATGCAATTCACAAAGTATGCTTCCTCAGCCTTACTAAGAAAACATGTTCTGCCTTAAACATGCACTTACGTGACTCAGTAATACTCACATGTACTTTAGGTGTGGGAGGAAGGCCATTACTAATTGGTTTCTAGAAAATAAAAGTCAAAAGATTTCGTTTATACTCACAAAAGCACATACGCATGGACATGCTTATTCTCTCTGACACTGCAGCAAAATCAAAAAGAAAATAAGTTACACTGCTGTTAAAAGCAGGCTGATAAATCATCAGTCATAATTTTATTAGGAGAAAATGAAAAGCCAGTACTTGTACCTAAATAAGACAGACAGAAACCCTCCCTGCAGATTTTTTGGACAACGGAGTTGCACTGCTTGTTTCTACACCAACTAAACAGAAGACATGAGGTACCTACTGAGACACTGCTGTGTTTGCTGTCATGTATCAGATGGGCTACCGTCCCACTTTGAGCAGAGATCCTCCTTTCCAACCTCAACCTCCCTATTTCTACTCCCTAATGACTACAGACCACAAACTACTAGCATCGTTTTTCTTTGTTAAAATCTCTGTGATTCCGTAGTATTCTCCTCCTTGAGCCCTGCATCTTGTTACACACTGTTCCCTCATCATGGTGTTTGAAAGAATGCCATAACCAGTAACACAAAGTTTAAGCAACGATGCAGCAGTAGTTCAACTACTGATGTAAAACTATCAATTAGTACTAAACTAATCTTTCCACTGTTAATACCAATTTAATCCAGGAACAGCACACCACTGGACGTAAGTATTCTTACAGGTACACAGGAAGCCTCAAACATACAATTTCAAAGGCCAAGCTCAAACGGTTCAGGAAGCCATACTTTCCAAAGTATCACCACCAAGACTGGCACTTCTTTAAAACAAACCAAAAATGCTCACTATGCTCCCACCCTGTATTTCCTGTTTATTTCTTGCAATAGCATTGCATCTCCAAGCTCATCCTTGGAAGAGGCCATGAATGGCCCCTCAAACACTGAAAATTTGATCAGGCTTCCCACGCCATTTTATCCCACACTCCCACTGCCACTCCTCAAGGCATCTACTCTGGAAGGCATTTGCTGTTTCAAGGGAGAAGCTCACTTGGAAGAGGAGAAAGTAATGCAGGATTATTCCTTTTAATCAGGGCACAGCTGCATCAGATGGTATAAAACTGCATTTTCTCCACAAGTACAACTTAATATTAGCATGCCTGACTCAAGTCTGACACTGCACTCAAACTATTAAGCCCTGAAACCTAATGCTCTGCATTCAACAGACAAGCAGTTCAAATATCTGGGCCCTTCAAATCCAAGCTCCCCATCTTTTCTTTACCCTGACCATCAAGAACACTGTATGCCTGCACTGCGATAGAAGCACAACTCATTTGGGAACAGTACTGAGGCAGCTCCTTTTTAGGATCACTTGAATTCCCCAGCAATCCACAAGGTGGCAGCATATTCCTTAATTTCCCTATTTGCTTACATAGTTATGGCTCAGTATGACATACCATGTATCTCTCGCAGCTCACTTATTGTATGCCTCCCAAATACCTGGATACAAATAAGTAAATCTTGTATATCCATGATTATTTTAGATTTTAATGACTGCTAAGTATGGACTCAAACTGTATCACAAGTAGATGATCCAGCAGTAACGTGCTTTGAATCATGTAAACAAGATGCTATTCAGTACTATTCCTATTTTAAAAAGTGTGCTATAAATGTGCAAAAGATAGTTAAGACACTATTGAACATCTAGAAGCTTTAACACCTACCAGTATTTCTTTCTTTTCTTTCCTTGAAAAACTGGTGTCTCTAGCTTCATTCTGTTGATGTGGTGATCCTTCTCTTTCACCATTTAATTGTACAGAAGTGACTCCATTACCTAAGAAGATTCACATTTAAGAATATGTTCTTCTACTTTTGATTCAAAAAGTACAATTTTTAGCTGCCTTGTTTCAAATGATGCCAGTAAATTGTATTTCTAAAGCATATTTGTTCCAAAATACACGCACACAAACCATCCTTAATGCCAGCTATAATCAAAGCCCACATTTTTGCTATTAGTGCAACAAATCCAGCATGGGCAGAGAAAGAGATGCAGCCACAGTTAATGGGAAAAAAGTATTTAATAAATCTAAAGAGCAGCCTGGTTATGGATAGTTATTCAATTATCAATTCTTAATAAGCCATGAGGCATTTCTCAGCACATCAACTGCAACAGTAAAGGTGTAAAGAGGAAAAGCTAGCAGCCTTTGTGAACAGCATCTCTGCAAGGCATACTTGGTCTTAAATCTGTTTTACTGTGCTTCCTTATTGCTTCTTAGTTTTAATGCATCCACTACAAAAAATTAAAACAGCATCTAATGTCCACACAGATGTAGAAATAATTACACCAGATTATTTAAGAAATACCTGAACACTTCCTGGCAACACTCTCACCTAAAACATGAGACTTCTGTGGAGGTAGCCGTGGTGGCGGTGGTCTCGGTGGAACGTGAGATGCAGACTTGGCTGGACTGTCTGATGCTGGGCATCTCTTGATTGTCCCTTGATTATCATTTTCAGAAGAATTAGTTTCTTGAGGGATAAAGATGGATTTAGGCTGAAAAGACATAGTAATAATAAACGCTTATGAAAAAAGACTCAAAGCATGTATGCTGCATCTCAATGAGAAATTTTCACAAAGCAGTTTTCACAAATAAATTGTGAAAGCAGGATTCTGCCATGAAAGTTTATTAAAAAAATCCATGCTAGAAAAAACTTGATAGTAATAAAGAAAAATCTTACAACTGACAACAGACAAATCAAGTCTGTTTTGTCTCTTAATGTGTTAAATTTTTAACGCATGAAAAGATTATTCAGTATACGGAAGCGCCATGTTCATGACTACAGATAACCAAACTAGCAAGTAGAAAATAAAAAATATTTTAATGATACGGCTTTGTTTAAGGAATCACAAATAGGAAAGGGAATCACAAATGAGGTCATTGTTTAGCCACTGGCTGCACTGAAACTGCTTGTAAAATCCTTCTCAGTTACACAGACAGATGGTACAGGGCCATAAAGAATCACACCTTCAGTTTTTGCTTTGCAAACAAGCAGCTATCTGACAAATAAATATATAAATTGCTTTGCTTCTTCATTTTGCTCATATTCAGATAATGCCAGTGTGAGAAGATTCAGTTACTCTTCAAGAGGCCACACATAAAACTTACTCCAAGCATACTTCTAAGTATCACCACTCATTCACTGAGCAGTGTAAGACTTGCTGCAAACTTGCCAGGCTGCAAACACAGGGGTCAATACCTCTGGAAACAACGACGACTTAAAACTTGATTAAAGTCCCAAAGTCGTGGTTCAACAGAGAGCAAAGTCACCATATTCACTTCAGCATTTCTGCACTTACTTACTTTAAAGGCGTTCCTTTTTTCTGCGCGACAAAGCCGCCCTCACTTACCTTTGGTGGTAAAGGAGGTGGCACTTTAGGTTTCATAGTGGCACTGTAAAGAAACAGGATAGACTGCTGTCCAGTACAGTTTTTGGAATCTCATATTGCATTGTTCAAGAAAGTACAGAATTTCGTGAGTTCTACACAAATAACTTTTATACAAACACCATTAACTTGTCAACAGCACTATTCTATCAAAACAACCACATCATACTTGAATACCTCCAAACGCTTCCCTTATGCTCTGTGTACCACAGACACTATCAGAAAACTCAGGCATCACAGATTCTCCCTCAAAACAACAAACTGATTTGTTAAAGATGGACATAAATGCAAAAAAAAAAAAAAAAAAAAAAAAAAGCAAGGAAAATCAAAGCAAGCCTGGTATTTACGCTGCTGAGGAGAAAGGTTTAGGGAATAAGTAAGGTTTCCCACATGGCCACTTGCAAGTATGTAATGCAAAACAAATTTAAATATGATTGATAACATTCCTTGGAAAATTCACTGCTAACTTCTTCAGAACAGCTTCACACATGAAAGCAAAGTCTGCAGTGTACAGCTAACCTACTCTCACTTTTTCCTCCTCCTTTCACGAGTTTCTTTTTCACTATAGAAATCTTCTGAAAAAGACAATTTTTTCACTTAACAACTTGGCTACAAACAAACTATCAGCAAGAAACAAGAAAGCTGAAGCATGAGACGCATTATTACTGCCGGCTTTGTGGTTTCAAAAATATGCAGCATTTTTCTTAATTTCCTAAAATTTTGATGTTTTCATAAATTCTTGCACTGTACTGTTGCTTTTGGAACAGAGGATTATTCCTATTGAATAAATCAGAAACATAGCTGTGAAAGCTTGACATTCCTGCACAGCTGCTCCGCTATTTGTTTTTTTTCTTTAATAAAACTACGTTCCACAGTTTTGGGAGAAAACTGAAATAGCAAGATATCTGTTCGCTTGTTTACAACTCCACAACTTGCCTGCTTCACATCATTCTTAAGAGTTTCTTTTCGAGCACCTTATCAGTTGCTAGTATTTTAGAGAAGCTGGAAGGAATTTCTGAGAATGGGTAACCCAGTATTGAGTACTTGAGCCACAATGATGGTGGCAGTTATCTTTTCTCTGAACAGGGCACCACGCTTAAGTTCTCAGAGTTATGCGAGTCCAAGCTCCTTTCAGTTTCCTTCATATTGCTCCCTGTATTTCAGACAGCCATCAGTATCACTGGGCAGTGAAGTGTTAATAAAAAAAAAATCAGTGCTTAAGCAGAAGTATGACAGATGTTTGTACAAAGGATGGCGTGCCCTGGTTTCAACAGCAAGGCTTATGTGCACTTTGTCACTGCCGGCCATGCAGGGCAGTGCCCCAGTAGTTTCTGCCTTCCCAACTTCCATCAACAGAAGTTCCAACATCATCAAGTTTGCTGCATGTGCAAAAATATATATATTATATATACATAGAGTGAGAGAGACGTTTAAATGAAGAAAGATGATTTTATATTATTCTCTGAGGTGTCTGGATTCTCTGCTGCTATGAATCACCCGGTTTTGAGTCATGCAGTGGCATCAGTTTGGAGTGGCAGGGGGACAGCTGCTTCATTGTGTGTGTTCTGCATCTGAGGGAAGAAGCGATTGATGTCACATATGCTCTTCAATTGCAGCTCCGTCTCACAGAATATAAATCAAACAAGAGCCTTGAATCTCAGCGGGCGCCAGAAAAATCTATCCAGAGACTGAGCTAACACCCCAGCTCACCACAGCAGAGCTTCAGGCTCAAGCAGGTAAAAAAGAGCAGAAACTCCTAAGACCTTTGCTGTAGGGCAAGAGTATTGGGGACGAAGTATGAGAAAGAAGCAAAATCCCCAGGATGTTTTCAGAACACCAGTTGTGACTGTGCTTATGGTCAGACAAATTGGAATCTCTCTGCAAGCTCTGAGGTGCTTTCTTGTTTAACTTGAACAAGAAAATTCACAGAAACACAACAGCGACAAAAGCACCTAAAGCCAATGCTTTAGGTCAAAGTTCTGACAGAGCTTGTGAAAGGACAAAGCAATCAGTGCAAGAATGTCAAAACAGTGGGAATCAAGAGGTTCCAAGTCCTGAACCATTACTGAAGTAGATGATACCAGCTGCAAACAGAGCTAGAAAAGAAAAAATTAAAATGAAGAGAGAGCTGTATACAAAACATCTAGATATCAATAGAGATGGATAACCAAATCAAACTGGCTTGCAGCAGTGCAGATATCCAGACAGTCTTCAGTGAAGATGAGAACAGAGCTAGCAGTATGGACTTCTAGAGGGCTGTTTATTTCTTCAGTGAAGGAAGCCTGACTTAGCATAACCAAGGCCTAGGCAGCTATGAGCAAAGCAGATTCTCAGCTCGGTCCAAACTATGTGAACAGATCAGTGAGTAGTGTTATCACTCTTCCTCTCCACGATAACACTTGGTAGCTCACGTTGTAAATGATCGTGTCTACAGACAACAACTTAATGAAATAGCAAGAATTTCTCAAGGAGTAAAGCCTGCTAAAAACTAAGAATCATTTTTCTTCTGTAATTGTCACTTACATCAAACAGCAAATGTACTTGTGTTTTGAGAAGTTGATCATTAATCAAAGCAAGTTGCACGCCCTGTCGCCTAGCTGACACCAGACACGACAAAGCTCAGCAGCCTTACCTCTCCTGAAGAGGGCTGTCCCTAAAGCTTGCTGAAGTGATAAAAGCCCCACCTTTGTTACAAGGAAACAAGCGCAACAACTCAAGAAAAGAAATAGTTATTTATTTCTCCATAAAAGAGTAAACATTCCATTGATAGATAATGCATGTTTTATAGGTTTCTGGCATGAAACAACAGCTTTCAAAATTATCCATTAACAAAAAAGTTAAGCAAGAAATCCGCCTCAAGGGCAACTTTCTTTTTTGTCTTTACACTGGATTTACTTAGGAATGTAAATTTCCACATACTGTCTGTGTATTTAAAATTGTTTTGGCTTTTATCTGTCAACAGAAAAGGCTCCAAAATACTTCTACCAGTGGAATTTAATATAAGCATTATTATTTTAGCACACACCTACTGACACTGCCTTTGCAGTCACATAAGCTTGTTCTCCCTGTCCCAGAAAACTCGGATGAGAATGTGCAAAGAATAAACCCAGTCCTGGTTATACATACTGCTTATGTATTTCCATAAGCTTTTAATACAGTTATCATTTCTAACGACATCAGGACAGAGGTCAGACAACTTCATGGTTCAACAGAAGCATACTGAGATTTTGTTCAAGAACAGGAAACAAAAGGACAACTGTATCAAATGAGGAACAACATTTTCCCCCCCTCATTTAACACAAGTTCATCAGCACAAAAAGCAAAATTCTGGAAATGTAATCTAGAAACTACATTAAACGTGCATCTTGAATTGAATTCAACTTCATTTCCATCAATTCAAAAATCAGGCTTTGAACACAAGCACACACACACACACACACACACACACACACAAACTTTTTTACAAGAAGAAAAAGTTACTTACTGTTTAGCATCATCATCTGCATCATCATCATCATCTTCTAAATGTGCCACATGTCCCCTACGAAAATGAACAAATGAACTGTGGCTGAGTCAATTTTAATAAAATGACTTTGGCTGCTGTGTCAAATTCTGAGCCTAAGGACTACAACCCCTTTTACAGATCTTTATTCCCTTTTACCTTTTGTTACTGTGATTAGTTATTACATCATTATCTAAAGCATAGCTGCGATCCAGACAACTAAGCCTCCCCCGTATCTCCTCAGCATGTACAGAGTCAAACAAGAACACAAGTGTGACAGTCATAAGAAATCAAAGAGCAAATGAGCGAAACACACAAGAGGAAAGAAAAATAGAATTACCGCTGATGCAGTTCTTCTTCAACTGATTTTAAGAGACTCCTTCAGCATAAATAAGAATAAAAAGACAGTTTAATTATGGCACACAAACTTAATTATCAAAAGCCGTGGCAAACGCTCCTATGATTTTGACAGTAATTAACCCCAAACATGTTATTTTAGCTGGCTTCCAGAACATCAATCAAACAGTGCTAAAAAGTTACACAACACATTTCCACCAGCATTTATTAATGCACTGCTATTAAATACAGTCTTCATTGTTAGCTGTGTAATGGAAAGCAAGGACAGTTTTAGCTTGATTCAATTTAAAAGAAAACCATGCTATCTAAGAAAATCAGTAACAATAAAGAAAAGCTAGAGTGACATGAACATTAAACTATAACTAGAACAAATCTATATTACCCTACTTAATTTTTCTAAAGTTCTGAACTTTATTTTTGTGACTTTGGAAACACAGAGGAACAGCAGGCAAAATACAGGGATAGGAAGCAACAAAATGACAGAAGATCACAGTATTCAGATTTTCCAATCTAAAAGATTTTGTAAAACAACATGCTCTAGGCTTACATTTTATGCATTTTTCAAATATGATTTCACTTAGCAATGCAAAGGTAGGCATCCTAATTCTGGCACACATAGATGGAAATTAAGAAATTAGGTGGAAAACAATGGTTACATTGAAAACTATTTCATTTGACGAACATGAGAGAATTATTAAACCTATGAAGTTAGAGGACTTTGAACAAGCTAAATTTTATTGAATATTCCTAGCACTCTGTAACATGAACAAGGGGTTCACAGAGCAACTGTCAGGAGGAGCTACAAGATGGGGTATAATTGTGCTCCACAGCAACTACTTTTGTGTTAACAAGCAGACTGAGATCACAGCTCACAGCACCACAGAGGCAGTATGAGCAACACAGCCTCAAACACTGAAAAGTGCTGTAATTCTTTATCACTGTAACTACTATCACTATAGAAATAAAGAGTTATTTTGGAATTGTAATCGATATGAACAGGCATGACTTTTTACTACATCATTTACAGCTGATGCATTTAAACATACATGTACAGCATTCTAACAGCCTCAAGGGAGTATGAGACAATAAAATGCCATTGCTTACTCACTTATTTGCACCCAAGAAGTAGCCACCTTGAGGACCATGACCATATTCTAGCTGCAGATCCTACAAATACAAGAGAATGAATCTTTAAAATGCAAATGTGAACATCAGACACGTACCCTGCATCATGCTGCTGTCATCTTCTCCACAAAATCTGAGTATGGAACAAACTAGTTCAAACCCACCTGACTCCTTACGTTCCTGTCACCCAAAAATCTCCTCTATGCCAGTTAGCAGAATTTGCTTTCCTTCTAAAACTCTGTTACTACCCTGTATAATTCCTTCTGAAGCTGTCATTAGCCTCCTTCTTGGACACGCAGATGCTTTACTCAAATAAATGAGCTGCAAAAAGGTAACAACATCAAGACTTCGTGATAGACCAAACCACATCAAAGCAATCGCACTGCTTTTTACAGACCCCTGCCATCCATCCCTCTGCGGTGCATTAACAGTACTTCTTTCAGACAAGGAGCTCTTCTGGCAGAGAGCCTGAAATGCCTTCGGCACATTGGGATGTGAAAAAAAAATAAGCAGAAAGGACAGTGAAAGTGCTTTTATAGCTCTGATACATATTTTAAGGATAACTCTAGGTCCTCATGTATATTTTAACATCATCTTTTGTATCAAAAAGAAAAACGATAATATCAGGATGGGCAACAAAGCAAAGCACTCAAGCAATGGTGGAGGTCAGGCTACTCAGAAAAAGAAGTGCCAACAGGCTGCAGACACTACTATTCAACAGATGTTGTATGGCATACAAATTAAATTCATTAGGCAGAATACAGAGAGCATACTGAAGCACCCTCAACTTTGCATCTGTGAGGAGAACACTGATATAATTACAGGGTATTTATTTCTTCCAGTGGATCACAACCTACGTAGAACTGCTCCCCCCAAAAATGCTGTGTGCATTCACCATGAGAAATTAGTTATTCACCATTTAAGTTAGTGACAAATGATGCTACACAAATGATGGTATACAGCTCCTTAACAGGGAACATTTCAAAGGTCCCCTGATATCTTCTACACAACAGTCCTCTTTCAGCTGTAGTCTGTATCAAAAGCACTCAGAACTGTGCTCAGGTATCCAAGCTGTAGGAACAATAAAAATGAGCTAGACAACAACTTGGGCTGATCTTTCAAACAATATTTTAAAAGTCAGGGGAAAAGTCTCCTATGAGATTTGTTTTCTTGGAGGACTGGCAAAACACAAATCGCCACTACTTCCAATTGCAGACCGAAGAGCCATTACTTAACAGGATGCTATGAAAGACTGCTTTTTCACTTGGCTAAGAGTCCCAGGACTTGCAAACTGCACCCTCAACTCTGCTCTCTAAAGCTAAGCAGTGGTTTCCACATGGTTGTTCCTACCACAGCTGTCAGCAGCACGTGATTGCTTTCATGAGCTTCCATATTTTCCCAAAGCAAGTGTGATATTGTGGAAACAAGCAGTATATAATTACGTGATGTAAAAGAAAGCACAGATCAGAGGTTTGAATAAAAACTGCAGAGGAAAGCCCACTGCTGGCATCTCCTCAATCTTCAACACACTGACTTTTTAACCTTAGTACCAAATTTATCACACATATATTTCCAGAACTGAACAAAGAAATCCAAAACCACCAACAAACCCTATGTGCTTCCAACCATCTGACTCAAATGGGCCACCCAGCTTTCAACTGAAACCTCAGTCAAGTGAGCCAAAAAATGAAGGGACAGGAAAGAAGAGCTTGCAATCAGTGCTGCAGGTGGGGAGGAAGGCTCCCTTCCCTCCAGGGCCACATCCCCAGCTCCACAAGGCACGGGCACTACGAACACACTGCTCTTTTTCTTCCTTCTTCACAGTTTCATTCTCCTTCTATACCTCAACAGCTTGCACAGCGAGTCTCCTCTCCCCATGAAAGGCCATCCCATGCCCTCCGCAAATTCAATCTCTTCATTAATCTCTAAATCTGTCACCTTCCCCAGTCAATTCTGTTAACCAGTTAACGTACTCCGATTCACCACATAGACACACTGAGTTAACTCTACTGAGAGGATTTAATTATTTCTATGCCATCTCCAAAAATTCCACAGATGCCAAATGTAAGCACACAGGTATTTGGGGATTCAGGCACTGAGAAGAAAATAACAAGAATGGAAACGTAAGATGTCAGCAGGCTCCCCAACAAGGAGGTTAAGCAGGCAGTGCAAAGCCACATGAGGGGATGCCAGAATATGGGCTGCTGGAGAAAAGCAACCCCAGATCAGTATAATGAAACCTGAGATTTCCAGCTTACGTGACGAGCGTTTTGTCTACATGTTGCAAAATCACATTAATCAAAAGCAGGAAACAAAAATCTTACGCTGCACAGAGCCAAAACGTCTGTCCAATTTAATTTACACACCACACAATGCTTGACTATATACATATATTTTATATATATATGTATAAAGAAAGAAACACGGCAACATCAGGAAAATTACAAAGGGAAAATAACCCCCATAACACGTAAAGAGCCTTTATCTGTCACCTAATCTTGCTGGAATTCTCTTTATGAAAAATGACATCTGCCAGAATTACTTATGTTTAAATACTCTAAGAGGACAAAAGCTGTTTTTTTGTTCAGCTTACTGTTATATTAAATACTGTCAGCATTTGACTGTGATTAAAATAGGATATGTATATTTTTAACTTCCTATCCTTAACCAGACTGTTAGTTTTCTTGTAAACTTAAAATATCGCTCATTTTCAACCAAAATGTGGGGTGAAGTGACTATTGCTAGCGGAATTTACTCTTCTGGATTCCTGACAGATAAATGCTCAGAGCTAGAAAGCTTTTTAAAAAGATCTAAGTTGTTCTGTACCCTCTACTTCACATATATCTTGAAGTTGTAATTTCTTAAACCCTTTTGCTACATATTTAATACATAAACATTGCTAAGTACTGCACCTACCATGCAAAGTCTCCAGAGTACTGTTGCACTTTATCAGAACAACCAATAAAAGCCCATTTTAAAGCCTAACACACACTTCAACAAAACATAAGTATTATTAGGTATGGATTCCCATTTGACGAAGAGAATATCATTAATTGCTAAGTGATGCAAAAACTGACTTAAAGGCACATTCTCCACATCTTAAGGTAGCCTAGCGACATTACTGATCTCCATGAATATCCTCATTTCAGATACACACAACATTGATTAGTTAACTAAAGACATTGACAGTATAGAAGAATCTGAACAACTAGGCAGGTGTTTTCCAAAAGAAGCTCAAGGCCTACAGCCAAATACACATGAGAATACAGTGAATAACCTTGCTGTCAAAGATGCAGTCCCAGATCACTGTGCATGCAAGCTCAGGTTATTAAGGACCAACTCTTGAACCAAGGCAACCACATAGAAGACAAAACACTATCTGTGGATGACAACTGCTTTGGGAAGAAAAGATAATACAAGGAGTAATCGCTATTTCTTCACACAATTTTCCAGTTAATGGTCACATAAAAGGCAAATCACAGCTTTCAGTGTAATCTATTGTGCAAAGTCATCAATGACTACAAAAGTATAAAGATTTCCTCAAAGAGAAGACAAATTTGAAGGAGGGTATGGCTATGCTGTAAAACACCCCAGGAACTACCAGAACTACACTACCTTCTGCAATTGGAGCTTAAAAAAAATGCTATTTAATTTTCAGCAGAATTTCATGATGAATCATTACTTGAGCTTTGACACAGTGCTCCTAATTAAGATACTGACTCCCCAGGGATGAGCTGCAATAAAAATATATATTTTTTTAGATGTTCAGTCTTTCAAAAAGCAAAACTGAATGTATACAGTGAACTATCAATTCAGCTACTTCCCCATCTGCTACCCGGAACTTTAGCCTATTAAAAAACAAGATAATTTCATAGAATCACAGAATGGCTTGGGTTGGAAGAGCCCTCAAAGATCATCAAGTTCCAACCACCCTGCCACAGGCAGGGTTGCCAACTGTTGGATCAGTACTAGATCAGACTGCTCAGGGCCCCATCTAACCCAGCCTAAACACCTCCAGGGATGGGGCACCCACAGCCTCTCCAGGCAGCCTATGTCAGCACCTCTCTCAGTGAAGAACTTGCCCCTGAAACCTAATCTAAGCCTGCCTTCCTTCAGTTTAAAACCATTCTTCCTTGTCTTGTCACCATCTAAAGTAATAAAAATTAAGGATTTTAATCCCAAAAAGTGCTGGGGAAAGAAATTTGAATTTTGAAGACTACGAAACACCTTTGGACTATTAACAAGAAGGAACATACACATGTCTGTTTCTCAATAAAGCTAAGATGATGCAGTTTCATGCTGCTTCATAAAAGAGAATGCTTATTTTTAGAGGACTCTGATATTAATGAATAAGATAAACTTTTAATGCCTTCATTTTGTTAAAAATGCATTCTTGAATTTAATTGGATGGCATAATACACCACAAAATAGCTGATTTTATACATACTACTTTTTTTAAAAAACACAAATGAAAGTATGTCTCTCTGGTGACTGGCTGAGGTTTTCCTGCACACTACTGCTACGTAGCTGTAGTTCTCCTTTTCCCTGTGTTTCACTTCCCTACACATGAGTATCCACACAAACAGCACTATATCAAATCCATGTAATGGAACACTGCTATATAACTATGGTGTGACCTCAGTGAAAAGGGCAAATGTACATAACATTTTTGAACTGCTTCCTAGCAATGAAATTCAACATCTCATCTCTTATGCCAAAGTAGAAAGTATCCAAAATACACAGGGAAGATGAAGAGTAAGAAATAACCAATCCAAATTCTTGATCCTTATGCACTTTCACCCTGACTCCTATTTACTTTCTTCTGATGATAAGGACCACACATCACTTTATTATTCAAAACAGAACAAAGCATGAAGATTTTCTGCAATCCAACTAATTGGTAGCTACTATAACTCTAAAATAAGTATTGCAAACAATTATGAATATAAGTCTTTGTGGTTTTTAACAAAGGAAAATCATATGTATGCACGTATAGAGAGGAGAAAAATGAACTAATCAAACCAAAGAACAGCCCTGCTGGG